TAGGAGTTGGAGATTCCTTAAGAGCGGAAATCTTGGCACTACATCAAGGTGTAAAACTGGCCAAACAGTTGGGGCTACAGTAGATTGAGATAGAGGGTGACTCCAAGTTGGTAATTGGGTGGATGCAATCAGGGCAGCTGGGAATTTGGCAATATAGACAGCTGATAAGGGAAATTCTTAGCATAACAAGGACAGTGCTGTAATGTTTGATGTTTATTGGATCAACCTTTTCTAATAAGGGTTGAATTCTGTATTTCAGGTTAATTTATCTCTAATGAAAGTTATCGTTTCCGATAAAAAAATGATAATGAAGCATGATTTTAAAATTTGGTGATGTTCCAATATTGAAATCTTAATTATTTTGCCTGTACTTATTGAAGGAAAAATTTGGGAAATTTTCCTGAAGTTTTGGGATTTCATACATGTATTTCACTTGAAACTTTGAATTAAGTATTAAATTTGATGACAATAAAAGCAGGCCGTCACCCAAATCTGGTCCCAGGCTTGTGAGAGTGGACTTGGTATGAAGTGTGCTACCCAGACATGGCTGGACCAGGAGTTGGGTACGAAATTTGCACTAAAGTTGAAGTATCCTACAATATGGCAGTTTGTACAGGTGTCTGAGTGTCAAAGGATATAGACCTAAACTCCTGAAATTTAGCATGAAGTGACTGCTCTCAAGCTTACGTGTTCTCATGGTTGTCAGCTGGAGATTTTGCAATTGCACCAAACAATAGTCCTTTAAACCTGATAACATTAAATAATATGAGGTGACTGCTTCAGGCTCATGCGTTCTCATGGTTGTCAGCCAGAGATTTTGCAATTGCACCAAACAATAGTCCTTTAAACCTGATAGCAATAAATAATATGATTATATATACGACATATTATAAAACAAAATTATTACTGCTAAAGTAATACACAAATTGTCAAAAGTAATTTATTATAATTTCTTGCTGGATATTGGATCCAAAATGGCTGCCAATATTTCTAGAGCTAAAACTACTAAGTTCTGATTTCTTTTACTGACCTTTGCTTGGAACTACGTTAACATGCCACATCGAGTGTAATGCCATGTAGTGGTTCAATGTCAAAGTGTCAGCATTGTTTTAAACCCATTAGCTTTAAGGGTCAAACTCTGCATTAACTGTATTTGAGTTACAGTTACAGCTATGTCTTTCTCATTTAATGTGTTGTTATCATGCCTTTATATTTAGTTTTGTGTCATTTACAATGCTTAATCTTGCTAATTTAACAAACTTATAACATCTATATTTTGTACGGTTTATTTGGTTGAAATACATTTTCATGTTTTAGAAGTATTCATCATATGAAATATACTGTAAAATTTCCTGTGCAATTTTTAGTGTTGTGTAGGGGGGTGTACCATGTTCATTGCAGGTACCTATGGTACCCGGTTACCTGTGAGTGCTTTATATGTCTGTTTCCAACATGATATGTACCTCATGCAATAGAGGATACTGCATGAACATTTCTAATTGTCTATGCCATTGCATCAACACATCCAACCTATGTAAAATGGTACATTTAACAAGTCACTATATTTATAACTAGGCTACAGGTAGCCATTGTATGCGTCCTCAATTTCAGCCTCTTAGGAATAGAAAATTGTATTCCATTACCCTTAGTCCATATCTGGTCATCTTAGACAGGTTCACTAAGCATGTAGAGGTATATCTGCATATCATAATGATAGGAATCAAATTTGGTTGAAATTTCAAATTTCAATCATATGATTAAACATCTGCAGTGTTTAAATGTCTAGGATGTCCTTTATATTTTTTAAATTGTTATTTGACCATTACTTCCTGCACTGATTTAACTTTTTCTTGGATGTTGTTCATAAAATGTAGGCAAGAAGAGGGGGGGTCGATGAACCGTTTGCATGGGATAGCAGAGAGTATTTGAGGAAGCTTTGCATAGGAAAGGTGCTTTTCTCTGAGACTTATTATTTCCTATTCGGTGTTAGTAATATTACTTTCCAGAAAAGACAGGTCTTATCTTACTTTTATTATATCATCTGGATTACCATAGGAAGTCACATTCAAAGTGGATTATACCGTTCCATCGATAGGGAGAGAATTTGGCTCTGTTTTCCTTGGTGATAAGAATGTTGCATTGCTTGTTGTTTCTGAAGGCTGGGCAAAGGTATCTACTTATTATTTTCTTTTGTGCAATGTACAAATTGGTGAAATTTAAGATTTACTTCCTGATGATACTTAAATAATATCCAAAACATTTGGTTGCAGGTTAGGGAGCAAGGCCAACAGAAAGGGGAAGTGAGCCCATTCTTAGCAGAACTGCAGCGACTTGAAGAGCAAGCCAAGCAGCAGGGTTTAGGTCGTTGGAGCAAGGTTAGTCTATCTGTTTGTAGACTGTAGCTTACACCTCAAATTGGAGTATGTCTTTTCTGCCAGGGGTTTTGGGCCTACATTCAGGACTAAGAGCCAATCGTGATTATTTTTTTAGGACTGTATATTCATTCAACTATATTGACATGCTTATATGTGATTAATTGGCTCCTTGTTGCTGTGCAGGTACCTGGTGCTTCAGAGGCATCCATTAGGAAATTACCGCCTTCTGCTATTGGAGATCCTTCTAACCTGGATGCAATGGGCCTCTTATCTGCAAATAAAGGAAAGCCTATGCAAGCCATTGTTGAGCAGGTTCGCGATGGAAGTACTGTCCGTGTCTACTTGTTCCCAGATTTTCAATTTGTTCAAGTATTTGTTGTTGGAGTCCAGGTAAGATATAATCATTTGATTATTTTTAATTCATTCAAGTATTTGGCTCCTTTCTTTGCCCTTATGCTTATATAACTGTAAACTCTTTGAGTTAGGCCCCATCAATGGGAAGAAGGGCTGTTGCAGAAGCAGTTGTTGAACCTGAAATAGTTTCTGATGAACCAAATGGAGAGGCTTCTTCTGAACCTCGACCTCCACTAACATCGGCACAGAGACTTGCAGCCTCTGCAGTACCTTCTATTGAAATTTCCCCAGATCCTTTTGGAAGGGAAGCTAAGCATTTCACAGAGATTCGTGTTCTAAATAGAGATGTGAGAGGGTTCCTCTTTCTGAATTGTGTTATTTTGCATCAATGCCCTGTCTATATTCTCACTTTTGTAATTTGCAGGTCCGCATTGTTCTGGAGGGTGTGGACAAATTCAGCAATCTTATTGGTTCAGTATATTATCCTGATGGTGATTCAGCCAAGGACCTAGCATTGGAACTTGTTCAAAATGTATGCCATTTTATTTCATGAGGCATTATAGTGCAAAAGATTTTCCTATATAAGTAAACATAGTGTTCAGTTTACATCTTATGGTCATTTTGATTTCAAACCACTTGGGAAAATACCAAAAGGTATGATATCAATTTCCCACACCGACTAAGGATGGTGCAGAAAGCTCTTGCCACAAGTTTTCCTTATTTCTAAATTTATGCCCACCAAGTCCTAAATCGAGTACAAATTCAAATTTTGTGCTCAATATTGTATTGGTTATGAACAAGAACAAAAAATAATGCTTATTTATAATTCTTTGTCCCCATTAGTATGAATAATAGTCTTTTACAATTATATATTATTTTCCAAAACCCTAATAAATAAATGAGTAATTGAAGACAGTAAATGCAAAAAGTAAAAGGTTCATAATTTTAGCCTTATAAAAGTACAAAACAAAGAGAAGTAAAAGAAAAATTACTTAATTTTTGGTGAAGTTCTATTAAACATTAATAAAAATCAAATAATACCATTGGATGTCTGAAAAGACATTTGTTGTAGTTGGGTAAAAATTAAATATGCAGAGGACCTAGTGGATACAAGCTTCATTTTGAGGAAAATGTTTGAAAAGATTTTGTTTTATATTTCTTCATTTCAAGTATCGGTCCAGGTATGCCCATATTAGTAATTTTGTCTTTTCATGAAAATTAGAAATTTCACAGATATGCTAATTTGATGAAAGTGTTGCAACTTGCTTTTTGAACCTTCAATCATTAATAGGCCCCACAACCATATATAATGTGCAAAATGGAACCTCTTACATACGGATTATATTCTGATTTTGTTGTATTAGACCTTAGCAAGCAGCAGTTCCTGGAATTTGTTTGACATAATTATATGATCGATTCCTTGGTTTCTTCATGGAATTCAAGGAGACTTGATTGTCAAAAAAAATTATTAATTTGTTATTTTTTTCTCCTTTGCAGCATACCTATAACAATTTTGGCAATATCATTTGTATAAAAAGATTTTTTAATGTTCACAAGATGCATCTTAGTTTCACAAAGCAACAGGAAAACAAGCTTCCATTGCTTGATTGAATAACCTATAATTCAGTTATTCTACATATTTTTGATGAATGAATAAGTAGTTTTATTATAGAGAAAAAAGGAGAGTACAATCAACCTTGGAAGAGGCACGAGATGCTACCTCTCCATTGGGAGGAGTACAGACCCATATCTTTAATGATGTTTAAAATTATTGAAAGCTCTTTTTTTTATGGCTCTTTCTGTATGGTTTGAGTTGGTACTTCATAATAGGCTCATGGATTATACATGCTTGGAGCACCATGCTGTGATAGAGACCCATCTGTGAGAATTCATATTCTGCAGTATTCCACTTGCTACAGGATATGATATTCTCCATCTGTTAAGGGAAATGCATCATGAATCGGAGTTTTGGGAATGTAGATGTGGGTGAAGCTGGGATAATGAAATTAAGGCCCTTTGCATGATGCTGAGTGAAAAATGTGGATAAGCCACTTTAGGATCTAGTTAAGTAAATCCAAGATTTATAAGTGCAGTAGTATTTACTTGCATAGTTCCAACTTGACAAACAAGAGAAACACCATAAAAATATGAGCTTTTTGGACTTAAGTTATTGAAGAACATATTGTACCTTAGGCCATTTAATAGTTATACCAACGGCAGCCATTCTGAATAGTCTCTCACTCTCATTCTCTCATGATAGGGTTTGGCCAAATTTGTGGAGTGGAGTGCTAATTTGATGGAGGATGATGCCAAGAGACGGCTGAAGTCTGCTGAACTTCAGGCAAAAAAAGACCGGTTAAGGATATGGACCAATTATGTTCCCCCAGCAACAAATTCGAAGGCAATTCATGACCAGAACTTTGCAGGGAAAGTAAGTTTATCTCTTTGTCAATCAGTTTCTAACTTATTGGTTTGTCAAACATTTCTTTGTTGATTGGATTTTCTCATTACTTTTTTTTCCTGTTGCCATATTCATTGGTTTACTCCAGGTTGTGGAGGTTGTAAGTGGAGACTGCATTATTGTTGCTGACGATTCTATCCCATATGGTAGCCCCTTGGCTGAACGGCGAGTCAATCTCTCAAGTATTAGGTCTCCTAAAATTGGCAATCCTCGTAAAGATGAAAAGCCCGCTCCCTATGCCCGCGAAGCAAGGGAGTTCCTGCGCACTCGCCTTATTGGCCGCCAGGTACACATGCAGTTTTCTGGTCTTAATTCTCTACAGGTTGTCCATTCAGAGCTGGTGGTATTCAATTTTAATAATATTTACATGATTTCAGGTAAATGTTTCTATGGAGTATTCTAGAAAGGTCAACATGACTGATGGCCCAGTACCAGCAGCTGGCGCAACTGACTCTAGAGTCATGGATTTTGGATCAGTCTTCCTGGTATCTCCTTCCAAGGTTGAGGGTGATGATGCTACACCTACGCCACCTTCTGGCAGCCAACCATCTGGGATAAATGTTGCTGAGCTAGTGGTTTCCCGTGGTTTTGGCTCAGTCATCAGACATCGAGATTTTGAGGAAAGGTCAAACTATTATGATGCCCTCTTGGCTGCTGAATCACGTGCCATTGCTGGGAAGAAAGGGATCCACTCTGCCAAGGATCCTCCAGTAATGCATATCACGGACCTGTTAATGGTTAGATTTGACAACTTAATATGAAATTCAATTCATCTTATAAACATTGGTTTTTAAACTGATGATATCCTCTAATGAACTGTTCCTCAGGCATCGGCAAAGAAAGCCAAAGATTTCTTGCCATTTTTGCAGCGTAGTAGGAGACTGCCTGCTGTTGTAGAATATGTTCTCAGTGGTCATCGGTTTAAATTGCTTATTCCCAAGGAAACCTGCAGCATTGCATTCTCGTTCTCTGGAGTCAGATGTCCAGGTCGAGATGAGCCTTATTCAGATGAAGCAATTGCTCTAATGAGAAGGAAGATATTGCAAAGGGATGTTGAGGTACTTCTATTCCTTTAACATCAAATATGCTTTCTTGCATATTTTTTGCTCAGATATTAATTTTTGTGTCTTTTTCAGATAGAAGTAGAAACAGTGGATAGAACTGGAACATTCTTGGGATCATTATGGGAATCAAAGACCAACATGGCTGTGACACTTCTGGAAGCTGGGCTGGCAAAGATTCAAACTTCTTTTGGCACTGACAGGATACCAGATGCTCACCTTCTTTTGCAGGCGGAGCAGTCTGCAAAACGTCAAAGATTGAAAGTAAGTGAAAATACCAGTCACTGCAAAAATTAAATACAGTAACAATACTCATGTCCTCCTCCCCCCCTCCCGGCCCATAATTGAGCTTACATATTTGTTTCTGCAGATATGGGAGAACTATGTTGAAGGACAAGAAGTTGCTAATGGTTCAACAGCAGAAAACAAACAGAAAGAAGTGCTTAAGGTACTTGGTCACTGCATTTTGTAGTAGGACAATCTTTTGCATATGTCATGAATTAAGTTAACCACTCATCTTTCTGATCTTTGTACCCAGGTAGTGGTTACTGAAGTTCTTGGTGGTGGTAAATTCTATGTCCAAATGGTTGGAGATCAAAAAGTAGCTTCCATCCAGCAGCAACTTGCTTCATTGAACCTCCAAGAAGCTCCTGTTATTGGTGCGTTTAATCCTAAGAAGGGTGATATCGTCCTTGCCCAGTTCAGTGCAGATAATTCTTGGAACCGAGCAATGGTAAGTTTGGTGAACTAGAGATCAAATATTCAAGTGCAAGACTAAAAATGATTTCTTTTATAGTACCTTCAAATGATTTGTCAGACTACTGTCTATGAAGCATTACAATGCCATAACTGTATGTTATGTGTACACTACAAGGCCTTGCATATTGCCTGCAGTCTATGATGCCTGGATACCTGTAAATGCCTAGGGTACTTGTGTCAGACATGTATATACCCAATACGACACCAGATAGTGCGTGGACACTTCTTGATGGTCTATAGCATTTAACGCTTAATATGTATACTATTATGTTAACTAATCATACTATAAAAATCTGTTTATATTAAAACACGTCTTGAGAAATGATAGCTCCTTTGAAAACTTGACAAGAAGTATGTAAGCATATTATATTCTATATTCCTGTACTCATGTTCATGTCTGGGCCTTTTGAAATGGAGAATCATATATCAGTTATCCTTACCTAGTTACCTTCGATAATTGGCATATTGGGAATGATTTTGTGAAATTCAAAACCAATTAAGTGTCAATTTGCTGTAAAATTGTCATTTGCAGCGAATTCACCCTGTCAGCAAGATCCATGTAGATTATTAAAATGGAACAGTCTATTTGGCACATTCAATCGGTTCATCAACATGAGATGAGACTTCCAATTATGTGTTTCGGTTGTCTTTTGACCATGTCCACTCATCCATGTTTAGAAGGCACATTGGCTCTTTGATGCATCATGCATAAAAGTTGTCCACCCTGTTCTATATTTCCTGTGTTATTTTATTGCTTCCATGTATCAGTGGTTTTCACATGGCAGTCTGAGAAAGTTTTACTTTTCCCAATGCACAGTGACTTATATGTACATTTTGACACTATAATGCAATACCTTACATTTAGTTAAGAAAATATGATGGCTGGAAGACATGGCGTTATTTCATTTATTCCATTTTTTTTGTGTAATAAACTTCCCAGATTGCATTCATGCACTTATATGTACACATGTATGCATGTACATATGCATGAAGTATTTTTGTAAGTTTGCACAAATGCATATTAAATTATTAATATAAGTATAGACATAGTTATATAAGTAATTATGCATGCACACTTTTTTCATATTTTTCTATTAAGCAATTCTGAAAAAAATCCATTTTTATTATTCATCTAAAAGAGAAAAAAATGCATTTTTATTTTCCTCACCCCAGTTTGATGAAGTTACCTCTTAGGATTATGCCAACTAATTGTTCTTTTGTCATGGGCAAAATGAAAGTGTCAATATGCTGATAAAAAAAGCGCAAGTGTCTATACGTTAATGGCTGTGATTCACAGCTTTAGCCCAAGGCTACACCAATGGGCACAGTAGATATTTCTCCAAGTAATGGCCCTTAACATTTAAATTTGCATCATCATCATCAACAAGTATACCAACTATATGGGGTCGGCTACATAAATCTTGTTTCACCAGTCCATTCTGTTTAATGCCATATCATTTGTATTTGCATGTGATTATGTGAACCAAGAAGTAGTTCCTAATAGTGACTTTATATTTATATTTAACATGCAAAGATTGTAAATGCCCCACGGGGAGCTGTTGAATCACCAAAGGACAAGTTTGAAGTATTCTATATTGACTATGGGAACCAAGAAGTAGTTCCTTATAGCCGACTACGGCCTCTGGATCCTTCTGTATCTTCTGCACCTGGTCTTGCTCAGCTCTGCAGCCTTGCATATATAAAGGTCCCAAGCTTGGAGGAGGACTTTGGTCAAGAAGCAGCCGAGTATCTGAGTGAGTGCACACTAAACAATACAAAAGAACTCAGGGCGATGGTTGAAGAAAGGGATACTTCAGGTGGGAAGGTGAAAGGGCAGGGAACTGGGACAGTTTTAGTTGTGACACTGGTTGACGTGGAAGCTGGTAGCAGTATCAATGCTGCCATGCTACAGGTATTGATGCTGAACCCCCTTTGTTTCACTTCTAATAAAATTATTACTTCTTGATTTGTAGTTGATTTGCTCCAGCTGTTTCTCCCTTGCTAAATGTTACAACAATTTATTATATGCTAATAACATCATTAACAAACTCTGAAACTTTGACTTGTAACCTAAACAGTAGCAATTTGATGTCCTAGGGCTTCAACCCAATCAAGCAACAAGAAACTGATGTCTTAACCCTATAACATGGATGCTTGCAATTAGGGGTGTCAATTGGACTGGATTTGGTCCAATCCGATCCAGTTATAAATGGACCAGGTCCAATCCAATCCAATGAATGTTTTGGACCAATTTGGACCGGTCCAATTCAATGTCTGGACCGTCCAATCTTTTCAAATTTATTTTGATTTAAATTGGTTTCAACCCAAACCCGGTCCATTGACACATGTATTCTTATCTTATACCAATGGACCAGATATTGGCTTAATCCAACCCAATCCAATATAAATTTGTTACAGACGGACCAGGTCCAACTCAACCTAATTAATATTTTGGACCTGATTGGTCCAATCCAATATGTCTTGTTGGTCCGTCCAATCCGTCCAAATTGATTTTGGACTGGAGGGGATCCAATCCAAAACCGGTCCATTGACACTCTTACTTGCAATGGAAGCTTGCTTGCAAGGCATTTGTTTTTGATTTGTCATTGCAATAGTAAAGATTTAATATATCATAGAAAAAAGGAAAAGTATCTTTTTTACCCTGTGAGTTGGAGGTCCCAGCTGAATCCTCTTGTATATTGAAGAAACATGTCATCTGGTCTTCTGGAAGCCTGGAATTTTGTCAAACAAGGCCTGAAGTTTCTTAGGATTTTGTTTTTTCTACTGCTTCAGGTGCATCTTTTCTCTGTTGCCCTAACCAGTCATTGAATTTTGACTTGTTATTGACACATTATTATGCACTAAAATGACAAGTTCTGCTTACAAATATTCTGTTTTTAAATTTAGCTAAGCGATAATTCAAAATGATATGCTTTTTTTTTTTTTTTTTTTGTATTCGGTGCCCTGCACCATTAATAACTTCCCCCTACACCTCTTTTTCCCCCAAAATGCTGGTTGTGGGATTTGATTCCGCATTGAAGCTGGAACAAACCAACCAATACACCAACGAGCCAGCCCTCAGTAGTTTATGCTAATACTTATAAAAATGTGCAAAAAAGAACTATCTTGCATATTTAAGTTGACTTCATTTGTGAATTTTTGCATCCCATACATATGATTCAAAGTATTGATTGCATATTGAGAGTTTCAAATGATCTATACTCACTTTTTTTTTTGTTTTCTCCGATATTTTTCAGACCTGTCACATCATCTAATTCCATATAAAACAAACCAAGATATGATACGATATCGGCGTATTGTATCGATAATTTGAACTTTGCCCACACGTAACTAGACTTATAATACATTAGTTAGTATTTATAGATATTAACATATGTTAAATATTTGATGTGTAAAATATATTTTTTAATTCTGGATGCATTTTGCGTATTGATGTGTAATAATGGATTTTTCTAAAATTTTAAATAAATAATGTTTTTATCAGATAGGCAGTTTTACATAAATTATTTCGAGTAAACATTTACATATATCTAAAAATTACAGTGGATTCATCTCTATTTTGCATTAAAATATAAATTACAATTGTTTCTTTTAAAAGTATGCATTTTTATGTGGTTATAATGTAATGATATCAATTTATTTTTGATTGGTAACAGTCAATTTTATTGATATTTGATAAAAGTAGTGCCTCTTCCCAGCATGTTACTCTGAACTAATTTGACTACTGAGAAAGCAGGCCTTAAGACTGTTTGGTTTAATAGAAAACTAGCAAGCGAACCCATGCAACAAATGCATTGGGGGGGGGGGTGCTGGTTAGGTTTGGGTAGGCAAATTTGAGTTTTGACATCAATTTGATTTCAGGCCAAGGTCCCATGTTTAAGGTTTGTCTTGGGTTGGCACTTAACCCCATCTAATCCATCTAATTTATACCCGTATTACTAGACAGGGTCAAAAGGGGTTCAAAGATATGCAAGCGGGTTTAATGGGAGAGCAAAGATATTACAAACATTGACTATTGAAGAGGGAGAAGGAGACTTTAGAATGATTTTTATTAGTGAAGAGTAATGAGAAAATTAAGACATAGGGGGGTTTTTAATTTTTCACATGTGTGAAGGAGAGAAGGGGAGAGTCCTTGTATTATATAATAGATAGGGGAGAAACAGAAAGTTGGGAGAAGGTTCTTAAGGAATTTCGCAAAATTTGTTAAGAACTTTCCCTCAACTTTGATGGGAGTAGTAGGGGGAATCCTGGACAATCAGGGATTGGGGGTGTTTTTTTGGGATGAGAATGGGGTCATTTCTGCCTTGATCTCAAGCCCAATTGGAGTGGGTGACTCTTCAGAAAGCTAAGGAGATGAGTATCAGAAAACTCATAATTGAAGGGGACTCGGAGGTAGTGATAGGGTAGCTGGATAAAGACAACAATGGCTTATGGAATTGTAGCAATGAGAGGAGGAAATTTAAGTGGCTGGTACGGGAGATGGAAGTTAAGATGAGTTGGGTTAAAAGATCAGCTAGTTCTTTAGCTGATGGATTAGCTAAACAAGGGGTAAAAAGGGATTTAATGTTTTGGGTTAAGCTATAATTTTATTGTTTCTTCCTGTTCCTTTTCCTTTCTTTCTTGAGGGCCCAAGTTGTATTTGGAAGATAAGAGTGTTTGTCTTCCTTTTTGTAATTATTCTTATGTTGAATTAATGAAATTGTTATTGATAAAAAAAACTTTCCCTCAACTTTATGCTTCTCTCTTATTTTCTATTAAACCAAACATGGCTAGGGTTATTTATTTATAGAATTAGTGTTATTGATGTATTTGCGAGATTTATGTGAGCCTCTACCATATTCATAAGGGGCTTTACCTGGCGCTGGTCCTAGCCATGGGGGCGCTTGGGGAGGGGTGAACTTGACACCTAACCATCGGCATTTTTTGCACAAGGTGGTTGCTCACAGACTTCAATCATGCTATTGCACAAACCAATGGCCCCTTCCCTAATTCATCATATCCATGGACCGTGGCATATCATAATTATTCCACTGTATACTTGTGTTTTCCAATTGTATCCCTATACGCCTCTCGATATTGCATCTATAACATTTTGTGGCTTATAGAACCTTGACTCAAACCAAGTAAAAGATCAAAGGCAAATAGAGTCTAGCGTATGTCATGCCAGCTACTAGTGGGATGAAATACTATCGTCTTCTCTCCTTTGTGGGCTCTTAATATTGTATCTATCGAGCACTTGTTGTACTTTACCAGATTTTTTTTTAGTTTTCTAATTGCCAATCTTTAATATAAATTTGGATCTGACCTACACATTGTTTTCCCAATTTCCAAAAGCTGCTGCTTTGGTTATTGCCAAACGTTTACTTGGGACTGTAGAAAGTCTTTGTTGTTACCCATTCCCATTTGACGTGACAGTATTGGAAGTGGCATCTAAAAGTGAGGAGATTTGTATCTATCAATTGGGTGGAATGGTTTTGATATTGAGACGTAATTGGTTCCATTGTTTTGTGTACTTGAGATATTTATTTGAACTGTATTATCTATAGGAAGGACTTGCGAGGCTAGAAAGAAGAAAGAGGTGGGACACCAAAGAAAGACAGTCGGCCCTGGATAACCTGGAAGAATTCCAGGCCAAGGCAAAGCGTGAGAGACTGAGGATGTGGCAATATGGGGATATCCAATCAGATGACGAGGACACATCTCCAGCTCCACCAGTCAGGAAAGCTGCTGGCCGCAGATAAAAGAAACGAGTCCGGCAAAGCTATGCTAATTAGCACGATCTAAGTCGCACAATCGCCTTAGAACTAAGCTAGCGAAGTAGGAGGATGGATAGTGGAAAGTTGAACTTGTTGGCAGAGCCTTGTTTTTTCCATTCTTCTCTTTACGATTTTTATTTTTATAGTTGGTGCAGTTCTCTAATTTTCCCGAATCTTGAGGAGGTGACAACAATTTTTCATTTTTACATGCTTTTTTTTTTTTCTTTTTAATAAAGGCAAGTGAAACTCGCAACGGCGGAGACAATTTTCTTTATATTGTTGGTGAAATTATATGTTGAGGTCTTTAATTTGGTGGTATACTTAATTGTGCCTTTTGTTCTCATGTTTGTGATCATTAAAACTAACGCTATGTTTATTTAAAGGAAAGAGTAGGGAAAGGGGAAATGCAGGGAAACCTATACAAGATTTGTAAAGGTTTTTCTTCCTTTACTTTTCCTACTTTTTCCTTCAAACCAAACATAGCCAGCCTTAAGGTGAGGGATTGTTAAAACTTAAAAGTGGTTGGCCACAGACCCCCGGTGTTGGAATATGAAAATACCGAGACACTTCTTGTGGTAAATGAAAGTTTGGGGTGTATAGTTCCTCTTTATTTTAATTAGCTGCTATCATATAAGACAGACAACTATCAGCTTTTGCCATAAAACTTGGAATCCGGCTTCTATCAGGGCGGAGTCCATGAGTGCATCGTTCGCGCAGCATGAGGATGCACCACGTGTTTGTCTCATGCGTGTGATTGAAATGTGAGATGGATTAAACGAGTTCAAATCTGTGCCTCACAAGGGGGCATTCCACAACGTTCCACAACATATCCCCGCCGTGTATTGGGAGCATTTCTTGATAATGATATCATCGAGGCTGGTATTATCATCGGAGAGATGTTCACAACACAGGATGGGGATGTGCTGTGAGATATTGTGGGGCGCAGATTTGAATTTGGATTAAACGCTGTTAGCTTCTTGTTTTATTCCACTTCTCGCTCCTCTCTCACCAGACACCAAATCAAACCAGACGTGTTCACCTTTCTAACTGGCGGCAACCAACATATCACAGGCAACCAGAGAAGAGTGGGAAGTGTTTAACAAGGAAATGTCACTCTACCATAACCAGCCATGAAGAAATTTTTGAGTCTCAACTCAGTGGTGGAACTGGAGACACGCTCAGTATGATGACTTCCAAGTACCCTTGTATCAATGCCATTAACTTTGATCTCCCTCATGTCATACAAGACGCACCCTCCTATCCTCGTAAGTAGTTAACCTACCTCATATCCTTTGTATCAAATAGAAAAAGTTGTTGTTGCTCCAGGAAATGTCTTATCTGGCAGCAACGATTTCAAACAAAAAAAGACATTGTTTCTCAAAAAACAGTGCTTCCTACCCATACATCAACAGCACCATAAAACGGTACTGCATCTGTAGCATCTAGACCTGTTCATGGGCCGGGCTGGGCTTTGACTCTTTATTAACAAAAAAATGTTAGGCCTGAGCTCGAGTCTGGCCCGACCAACGGGCTTACAACTTGGGCCCAAGCCCGGCCCTGATAAAAAGCTCGAAGCCCGACCTAATAAAAGAATTTCAAAATTTTCCCTATTCAAATAGACATTATCTATTTTAATTCAGATGTTTTTCCCCTATTTAAATGAACAATGGGCCTACAAGTGAATCAACAACCATCTCAAATAAAAAAAAATATTCAAATGGACATCACATAGGGTTTTTACTTAGGTTTAACTATAGGTTAGGCCGGGCAGGGCTCGGGCCGGGCTATTTTGGCAAAGCCCGAGCCCGGCTCGAATTTTATGTGGGCTGGGATTTTTGGCCCGAGGTTAAGCCCGCGGGCCAAAAAGCCTGTTCAAGCCCGTCCGGGGATTGGGCCGGGCCGGGCCGGCCCATCGGGCCACCCGGCCCATGAACAGGTCTAGTAGCATCGATGCCAAACATATACTAAACAGAAGAAAATAGTTGTGTGATCAGATCACCTTGTGCTATCTATCAAAAAAAGATCACCTTTATGAATGCTTGAGAAAAAAAAAAAAACCCTGAAGGGGTAAACATAAAAATCTTGCCGCTCGAAAGAATCTATGGAAGTAGACACTAAAATAAATATGATGAGGGCAGACTTGGCCCTCCACTGACATCATGACACATGGTATATCAGAACAGCTGGACTACATCCCAGCATCACCTAGGCGACAACTTGCGTTAGCCAAAATGGGGTCCCAGCTGGCGACCTGCCTTTGCTGCCGACCTGGCAACCTACTTTTGTTGTCGACCTGGCGACCTGCCTCTACTGCCGACCTGGCGGCCTACTTCTACTGCCAACCTAGCGACCTGCCTCTACCGCCGACTAGGTGACCTACTTCTACCGCCGACTTGGCGACTTACCCTTGTCGCCGACCTAGCGACCTACCTCTTTAGAAGCTTGCCAGTTGTCTTCAAACCTTTCGAGATCACAACACATAACCGTAGGCCTTATCCTCATCCTGCCCGAATCGGAGGGAAATGGTAAGCCTTTTTAACTGGCACGTTATTCTCCTTTCAAAGCGGAACAGACCCCTATGTCGTGGGCCTAGGATTCTGGGAGCATTTCGCGAGACCCACGGCAGCCTAGCTATATAAGGGCATCAACCCCTGAGACCCAAGTAGATGCACAATTTAGTTCTCGTAGCTCTCCATCTCTCTCACATTTAGCTATCTTAAAAATCTCTGATTCGTCGGCTTAAGCATCGGAGTGCCCACCCCAGGTAAAGCAACCCAGGCACTCTGACACTGTTTCCTTGTAGGTCACATCAGAGCCACCTCTCCAGCTCGTCACCATTCAATTAAGCATCAAAGCCACCTCTCTAGCTCATTACCATTTAGTTAAGCATCAGAGCCACCTCTCTAGCTCATCACCATTCAGCTAGGCATCAGAGCCACCTCTCCAACTCGTCATCACTCAGTTAGGCATCAGAGCCACCTCTCCAGCTCATCACTATTCAGTTAGGCATCAGAGCCACCTCTCCATCTCGTCACCACTCAGTTAGGCATCAGAACCACCTCTCCAGGTTGTCACCATTCAACTAGGCGTCCAAGCCCCATTACAGGTAAGGATTATTCAGCAAGGCATCCGAGTCACTTGCCAGCCGGGAGCTGCCAAAATGCGCATCATTAGAATCATAGAAGGTATGTAAAAACCACGTCTTTAACAGCCAAGGCTTCCATCAAATAACCATGCTTGAAACAATTTAGAACGGTAACTAGGGAGGTCTTCATCATATTGTATTTTTTGGCACAGAAGCCTTATCCTTTCCCAATTCCCATGTCTAGCCAGTTTCTAGCTCCTTAATAATTAATCAAATCCAGTTCCACATAGGTAGTAGGTAGGACTCCAGATCACCTGCCCACAAGAACTCTGCCCATGTCTACTGACAATACATTACCACCGTGAATTTGGAATATCTCCCCCTATATAATACCATTTAGGTGGATGAGATGTTCTCCATGTGTAGCTGCGATGTTATATGGGTAGACGTGGGCAGAGTTTGTGTGGGTAGGAGATCTAGACTTAGTAGATAGTAGCAGTACACATCTGTGTCTTGAGGTTGAGGTTGCAACAATATTGACGATGTTTAATGACGTAGTAGGTAGTAGCAGTTCCCCAATTAACAACTTGTGAGATGGACCTAATTAAGAAACATCTTGTTGTGTTGTAGAGATTAACGGGTAGGAGTACGTAGTAGGACTGGGAATTCAATCCAAGTTGGAACACAGTTAAAGCATCTTAGGATCCTTTTGTCCAAATCACACAAGGAGAAATGGAAAAAGAGTTTGGTATTTTTGGGATGGCGTTGTTTTTTGTTGCTTAGGTCATGTTTGTGAGTCTTTAAAAACAAGTGTTATAATTATTTGGGTCGGGCCCATACCATTAAGCACTTATTGGTGTTTGGGAAATAAGTCTAAAATAAGTGCTTATTTTTAAAATAAGGGTTTATTTTTTAAGACCAAAATTTCAGCTTTTTTTGAAGTGTATACAATAAGCATTTATTCACTTTTTTCTTCCAGAATTATCCCTAGTTGAATTTTAAAACACCACTTATAAAATTATTCCTAGTTGAAAGTTATAGAAGTACTTTTGTAAAAGTGTTTTTGTAAAAGTATTTCTATAAAAGTAATTTTATAAAAGTATTTTGATAAAAGTACTTTCATAAAAATTATTTTGTAAAAGTAGTTTCATAAAATTTGAAAGAAAGTGAAGGACATAATAGTTACAAATGCTCATGTAAGTGCTTATTGGAAAAAAAAAAGACTATTAAGCGCCCAATATGAAATAAGTACTTTGAATAAGTTGGATGCCAAAGGCAAATAAGTGCTTATTCTAATAAGCACTTGTTTTTAAGCATTTATTCAATATAAACTTATTTTTAACATAAGCACTCCCAAACATAGCCTTGGTATTATAGGCTTATGGTATTTTATGCAATGCCTTCCATGTTCTCTTCGCAATTTACAACTTTTGATGAAGGCAATAATTTAGTTTAAGGAATTTGTCTAAAGACTCACACTATATGACTTTTCAGCATTTCTCTTAAACTCTTCCTAACTTTTAAAAACATGCAAGGAATCCCATGTGAGTAATTTTGAGTTAGACTAATGGGTGTTAATAATTTATATATATATATGGGACTTGACTTGGTTTGTTGTGGTTGTGCACGTGTCGGACCCCCAAAAGAAATAAAAAAAAAAATGAAAACTGTTTGGATAAAAATAGTACGTAATATTATTGGGTAGTTTTGTCTTGGTTTATTGGTGGAGAGGGAAGAGAGGGGGTCAAATTATATTGTTGTGTGGAGTTAGGAGTGAAAAGGGAGGGATTATGGTTAGAAGCAGACGAGAGTTGAATGAAATCCGTAAATGCCGGCCTGGCCTTCTACTATAAAAATCAATCACAGAGAGAACCGATGGAGGAGAGAAACACATAATAATTAAGAAAACAGAAGAAGACATGAGAGTTGAGATGAAGTTATGTTTGTTGTTGTTGTATTTGTTTGTGTTGAATGGAATTGTTTCTGGAGATAGCGATACCTTCGATGTGGTAAAATACGGTGCCCGAGGGGATGGAGTGCATGATGATAGTAAGGTAATTAATGTGTTACGTTAAATGATATATACAGAGACTTGTCTCTCTCTCTCTCTCTCTCTTTCTGTTTGTCTGTTTGTCAGTCTATTGTTATCTGTAAACCTATACATACGTACGCAAAAGAATCAATTACAAGTCATAAGCTGATGGTGTTTGTGATTGATGATTAATCCAGGCCTTTCTAGCAGCATGGAAGGCGGCATGCGAATCCTCAGGTGCGGTGAAGGTTCTGATCCCGAAAGCCAACTACATGGTCGGTCCTGTTAAGTTTTATGGCCCCTGCGATAAAGTAAAATCCATCACCGTCTACATGAAGGTGTGAGAGATGAGAATTCCCAATTTTAATTCTAAAGATTAAGTAGTACAGTTTATTTGATGTAGGATGGAGTGGAAGATGATGATGATACATCTCTCATTCTCTCTCTGCTCTTCTCTTTCATCATGTATGTAAGCATGTTAATGAGTTAATGTTAATGTAGGGTTACTTGAAGGCCACAACTGACCTAAAAGATTACGGAACTTATGACTGGATTACATTTGGATTCGTGGAAGGATTGACATTGACAGGAGGTGGGACTTTTGATGGCCAAGGAGCTGCATCATGGTCCTTTAATAGTTGTCGTCTCAAGAAAAATTGCCAAGTTCTTCCTACGGTAAGTATATATAAGGGGTCTCTCTCTCTCTCTTTCTTTCTGGGTGGGTGTGTCTATATATATATATATCTTATGTTGATGTTGTTTTTCCAGAATCTGAAATTTGTTTCACTGAACGACACGGTTGTTAGAGGCATAACATCGTTGAATAGCAAGTTTTTCCACATGGGATTGGTTGATTGCAACAACTTCATGGGGAGAGATCTGAAGATAACGGCCCCAGAAACGAGTCCCAACACTGATGGCATCCACATTGAGCGTTCCACTACTGTCAGCGTGTATAGTTCAATCATCGGAACGGGAGACGATTGCATCTCCATCGGACATAGCAGTTATGACATCACCATCAGTGGGGTGACTTGCGGGCCGGGTCATGGCATCAGGTAGTCTTACCGATTGATTCATGGATCACCATTTAATTAATATTTGCTGACTCAATTCATCATCTTGGCTCTTGTTGTCTCATGTCATAAATATATATTAAAAAAGCATTGGAAGCTTGGGAAGATACGAGAAGGAAAAAGACGTAAACGGAATTGTGGTGAAAGACTGCACCATCACCGAAACAATGAATGGGGTTAGGATCAAGACGTGGGAGGACTCACCGGTGGGAAGCCAAGCCTCCAACATGACATTCAATAACATAGTGATGCACCGCGTGAGCAACCCCATCATAATCGATCAGACATATTGTCCCTATACTTCTTGTACATCCGCGGTATGTTGATAATAATTCAATTTGATTGTTGCTTCAATTCAATTCAATTTGTTTGATTGATTGATTGATTTTTCGATGTTATACAGTCATCATCTCGCGTAAAGCTCAAGGACATATATTTCAAAAACATCAGAGGAACATCAACCACTCCTGTGGCAGTGTTGCTGGAATGCAGCAAAGGCCTACCATGCGAGAATGTCTTCCTTGAAAATATTCACTTAGAACTATCTCCTGGAGGTGGACCCACCAATTCCACCTGCGAAAACGTCAAACCACAATACAGCGGCACCCAGATTCCTCCGCCATGCAATACGTAATCACTAATCAGTTATCAATTATTTAATTACCATTTACCATTACCCCCCCCCCCCCCCCCCCCCCCCCCCCTACGGTAACAAATTGGCATGTTGACTGCCCATCATCCTTTTTTTAAGTCTATGTAAAAGCTACTGTTTTTGTAATTCAGTATTCATGATCGATCTACTACTTAATTTATTTCTTTTTCTTTGCCTCTATTTCATTTTTTATGAAAATGTATTACAATATCATCCGATTCCGATCCACTAAATAATTTTTCACTTTTAATTACAAAATTCCCTGAATTCGACTTAAAAGAATCAAGTGAAGCCTGAAGGGAAAATATGACATTTTTTAAGGATAATTTGGTAACTGAAGTCTCTATTATTATTATTATTATTTTTTTTTTTTGTGTTGAAACTATAAGAGAGATTTTTATTAAAGTGAAACCTCACGAGAGTTATTATGATTGTCAAGGGAGGTTCTTATAATGTTTGGTTTCAGCAAAATGAAGAAGAAGAGCGAACGTGCAACCCATATTATTAATTTGCAACACGTCTTCCTTCTTTAAATTGAGAATAAAATTGATCGATAAGAGTAATTGTCCATGTTTTATGAGTGGCAAGAATGACATTTTTATTTCATTTTTCTTGTGGATTAAATTGGTCCCAACAAACATTAAAGTTAAAACTGTCATTTTCTAATTCAATTTAATGGAAGGTCAATTAAGTATATCAGTTGCAAACTATATATATATATATATATATAAGGTGTTTTAGTAAAACACAAACTATAAGGTAGGTTTTAGTAAATTCATTAAATTATATAGACTATTTTAATAAATGACCTTTTCTAATATATCTATGTGCTGTTTTAATTTTAACTATAGTATCATCTATATACGGTGGAAGGTGCTCCATTAATGTAATTTCCATCTAACTTCATAAAATAATAATAATAATAATAATAAATAAATAAGAGAGTCCAAGTTCTAGGGGTGTCAGTTGGATTGGATTTGGTCCAATCCGATCCAGTCCAATGTGAGTCTTTTAAAAATGGACCAACTCAAATCCAATCCAACGAATATTTCGGACCAGTCCAATTCAACATCTGGACTGTCCAATCTGTTCAAAATTGTTTTAATTTAGATTGATTCTAACCCAAACTTGGTCCATTGACACCTATATTCTTATCTTCTCAATGGACTAGATATTGGCTCAACCCAAACACCTATATTCTTATTTTCTCAATGGACCAGATATTGACTCAAGCCAACCCAATCCAATATAAATTCATTACAGATAGACCAAGTCGAATCTAATCCAATAAATACTTTAGACCATTAAGTCTGAATTGATCCAATTAACTATGTATTGTTGGTCCGTCCAATCCATCCAAATTGATTTTGGTTTGGATGGGTCCAATCCAAAATCAGTCTATTGACACCCCTGAGTCCAACTATAATACCATATATTAACGGGATGTTACCGAAAAACTATTTGACTGGAATCATGAAAGTCGTAATCTAATCAGGGCTTACTCATCTAAAATCATGGGGAGAGGGCGATTGGTCAAAATTCTTTCAATATCATATATTTCCACTTCTTAGACCATGGCTGCTCGTTTTTATTTTTTACGAGTCTTAATGAGCATTCCCCCTAGACCTGGCAACCGGGTTGGGTGGGTCGGGTTTGGGTTGGGTCAAGGTATTTCAAGTTGATTTTAGGTCGGGTTGAATTTCGGGTCGGGTTGTCAGAATGCTAGACCCTAACCCTAAATGTTCGGGTTAAGGTTGACCCATGGATCAATTCGGGTCATCCAAAAAATAATTGAAATTTAAAAAAATAAAGAAAAATTACATGAAAAATGTCAAAATTAAAAGAATTAACCTTAAAATTCTAAATATAAAATAAAACTTGAACATTTAACAATTTAATGAGTAAACAATAAAAAGTAAAGACTAAATAGAAAAAATTAAAAAGTGGAAACTTCTAACAATGCATAAATAATCCCAATTAGACTTGACAATCGGATCAGTGGGTTGATCCATGACCCAACCCAACCCAACCCAGTTTTTTCGGGTATATTTATTGTGTATATAAAAAATAAAAACATTATATTTAATATAAGCATGGCTTTTAATAACGAACCGATCAGGGGTCCGGTTACTGGTTCGAACGATCCGGCCGGTCGACCCGAATGACCAGCCTGTTTTGACAAAAAATTAAAAAATTGGAAAACGATCAAAACCATTCAAATGGTTCGAACAATTAACCAGCCGATTCAGCGGTTTGCTGACCAAAATCAACAATTTTAAAGGAAAAAGCAGTTTTAGAGAAAAACAGAACCAAGTGACCGGTTCTCGATTTTTCCGGTTCAACCGTCCGGTCCAGTCCGGTTTTGAAAACAGTGAATATAAGTTTGATTAGGCTTACCAACCTTAAGAGTCAGCTTTATTGGGCTCAAGTTTACTCAAAGAAAGTGAGAATGCCTTTATTTTTGTTCCAATTTCAATCGATCTTATCGTTGGATTCTAGCTGACAATGATCTATCATTGGGTTATGATATATCGTTGATGATCTACATTTGGTTTGTAGTGTTGCATGAGACTATACATATATCTTGTTCAACTAAACCTACACCCCCTGCACATGTTATTGCTGTTTGTGCTACACATTGTTTGTTGCAGAAAATCACCATTCTAGTGTTGTTTGCTACTATTTGTCCATTTATTTAGAGGTGTAAATGGATCGAATTCGAATCGGATTAAATAATATCCAAATTTAAATCCAATTAAAAAATTTGATATCCGATGGATATTGAAAATTAATATTCGAATTCGAATTTGATTAAATATTCAAATATTTGATTTGATTCAAATTCGATTAATTAATTATTTAAGTAATTAATAAATATATAATTATTATATATTCAAATATTTGTATATTATATTTAATTATTATATATAAATTATATAAACATTTAAAAATTTATATATTATATATAAGAATAAAATAATCGATCGAATTTGGATATTTATCGAATCGAATTAGGTCATATCCGAAATCGAATTTGATTAGCTATTGGGTATGAATAGGATATCCGAATTCGACCGATTAGATATTCGAATTAGCTATAGATATAAGTATTAATTCCTTAGCCTTTTTTTTTTAATTTTCTTCTTTTGAATGAAATAATTTATAATTAATGCATTAATTTTCTATTAATTATTGACTAAAATTAGTTTTGTCTCGAATAAACACACTTCACCCAAATCAACATAAATCCAATCTTGACCCAAGTCCGGACCAGCTCAACTTGGTCTAAATATGAATAGACCCGTTCACCTTGGTCTGGTTCGTTTGGGTCGGTCGGCCCAGTCTGAACCCGATCTGACCTAGGACTGGTTGATCGTCCAGTCCGGACCATACCCGGATAACCCAACCTAAATCTGGACTGGTCTGGTTCGCTTCTCTTGACCCACTTCTGGCCAGTCGATTTAGTCCCAAACCCATGCACGAACCTGATATTGGCTGGTCCAAGTCAATCTATCGTTGACTGAACCGGTCTGGTCTGGTCCGATCGGACCAATCCAGATTTAAATGGTTCAACCACCCTTGATGTGTGATTAACTTGAAGACAATCCAATTAGATAGTTTAAGTTGGTTTGATTGGTTTGAACTTAAGTGGTTCAGTCAAACTCAAAACCCGAATATAGTCAAATAGCTTCGCCACTTGTGTAAAAGTAACATGCATGTAATGTGATTTGAACATTCACCACTTTTGTAAATAGCAACTATTATTACCACCAAGCTATGACCAACTTAATTGTTAAGAGAGAGTTAGTTTTTGTTTTAAGTACATAAATATACGATTAATGGGTTTGGGCGGGTTCGATTGGGTTAAAGCGGGTTTAGGCTGAACCTAGACCTATTCATGGGTCGGGTAGCCCAGCCCGTTATTAAGTCAAGCTTGGTCATAATTTTAGGCCCACAGGCTCAGGCTCGAGCTTTCTCAAAAAAGCCCAAACTGAGCCTAAGCCCGACTTTGATACTATATATTAAATAACAAAAGTATATATAGGTCTAGTTGAGTTTTGAGTTTTGAAGGTTTTGAATATAAATAAACACTTTTTTATTGAGTGAAAAAAGAAAAAATTATGTTTTCAAATTTTTGGCCGGGCTCGGGCCCGTGCTTCAGGCTTTATATAAGGTCCAGGCTTGAGCTTGGGCCAGAGTGTATTCTGTTGATACAAATATAAACCCCAGCTTGACCCAACCCATGAATATATCTAGTTGAACCCAACCCATTTAATTTTATATAACTGGGTCATTAATGAATTGATGGGTTAGAATGTTGGGTTGAAACTCAACCCAAATCAAACCCAACCCAACTCGTCCAATTGCCACCGCTAACCATTATATTATGTTTCTTCAGCTTTGTTGATCAAACACATTCAAATCTTTCATTGAGGGGCATGTTAGGGAGTTAAGACAATGATAAGTGATGTTGAGTTAGGATAAGAGATTACCAAATTGGGATGGGAGTCATGAATTTCAGTTTGAGAAGAGTGCTAGAATCATGCATCTATAAATATGATGATGTATTTCTCATATTTGGTTATTGCAATATATATATATATATATATAGGATTGGGGTGCTCTCTTCATCCAGGAAATGGAATCCACACGTGCGAGTAGATTCTCACGTGAGAGCAACCCATTTCCTATTAATTATATAAATATTGTTAGATAAATATATAATAGTTATTATATAATTATAAATATTGTTATTATAATTATCTAATTATATAAATATATAATAGTTATTATAAATATAGTTAATAACTAGATATCGAACCGTTCAAACCATTCGAATAGTTTTGACCATTTTTTTAATTTTTTGTCAAAACGGGCATTTGACCCAGTAATCGGACCCCTAACCGGTTCAGTCTCTGAGTCGGTTTTAAAAACCATGATGTTATGTCATTCGAGCGTGTGACTCATGTGACCCGAAAATG